GCCGGGCTGGAAGGCCCTGGAGCAGGTGTGGCTGGTGCTCTTAGCTCGCCCGGGGCCTCTGCTCCCCGTGTCCCAAGCTCTCAGCTCTGTGGCAGGGAGGAGGGGGTAAAAACACCACCTTCCCTTCCGACTTGCCCTGGAGACCTCTGTTGGTTTCCAGAGCGGGCCGACAACCCACCAGAAAGCGGTGGACTTTGGGCTTTCATGCCTGCCTAAACTGATTTCTATTTCAGCCGCTCCAGGGCAGTGTTCCCTCTAAGCTAAGTTAGTGCGAGCTAGCTCACAGGTTTTTAGCCTTGAACTCACACATTTTTGTCTCGGCTCGGAAAGGATGGCTCCCATTTATGCAGGAGCCAAAGAGCCAAACCGCTCGCTCACATCTTTAATGCCAGCAGCTCACAAAGTAGATTTTTTGCTTACAAGACTCCATAGCTTAGAGGGAGCATTGCTTTCTGATAATACAGTTGGGTTAGCAACCCTCTTGTAGGAATTTGAGTTCAACTAGCTAGTATTTATTTATTTTTAAACCGCCCCTAAGGGCAGAATGTTATTAAGTTTTTCCATCATAAAACGATACAAACTTAACATACAAACATTAACACATACATACAAAACATTAACATTGACGGGGGTAATAAATCTTCATAGTTATTATATTTAATTTGCCTAAATGCAAACATTATTTTCTACAACTATATACGATGAGTAAATATCATTACGTTTCTACCTCATTGGGTTATATGAACTTTGTTTTCTTGGACTTTGTCATTTATTTATTTATTTCTACCTTTATGTAGTTATTATACCAGCTATAAAATTGTGACCAAGTATTCTGGAATGCAGAGCCCGAGTGTCCCTTCATCAATAAAGTCAATTTGTCCATTTCAGCTGCCTCCAAAGCTTTGTTTAAGTTTCGTAGGTGTCTCAGATGTCTAGTATTTATTGATCAAAATTAAAGCATACTCTAAATCGGGGGTTTATAGAACAAACAGTTCAGATGGGATCCGGGTGGGGCAGCAGTCCCGTCCCGTCCCCCCCGTCCCCATTGCTTTAGGCCTCGTGCATGATTGCTGATGCCCACACTCTGTCATTCAGGCACTTGTCCAACTTCTGACACCCTCTTGCTCTCTTCCTCCGCAGGGCTTTCAGATCCCCAAAGGCTGGAGCGTCATGTACAGCATTCGAGACACCCACGACACAGCCCCCGTTTTCAAGGACGTGGACGTCTTTGACCCCGACCGCTTTGGACAGGGCCGCACGGAAGACAAGGACGGCAGGTTCCATTATCTCCCCTTTGGCGGAGGCGTACGGACCTGTCTCGGCAAGCACCTTGCCAAACTCTTCCTCAAAGCACTCGCCATTGAGCTGGCCAGCACGAGCCGGTTCGAGTTAGCCACCAGGACTTTCTCTCGGGTCACGTTGGTGCCCGTGGTCCACCCGGTCGACGGACTGAAGGTGAAGTTCTTTGGACTTGATTCCAATCAGAACGAGATCTTGACAGAAACGGAAGCTATGCTGGATGCCACAGTCTGAGGGAGAGCCCCGGGCTGCTGCTTCTCACGGCTGGGGAGCCTGGGGGGCCGGAAGGGAAGGGAACTAGGAAGGGCCCCCCCCGCTGATGCAGATGCGCCACCAGACCAGCTCTTGTGGTACGTCCTTGGTCGAAACCTGCTTGGATGAATACGCCAAAACAAAATTATGATGTGTGTGTGTGTGTGTTTTTCCGGGGGGGGGGGGGGAGCGCTGAGGGGATCCTCTTGATGGTTTATGTTTTATTTTTTATGAACATAAAGGAGAAAAGGGATTGTCTTGACCATAAAACAAAATATAGATGTTATATATAGATATATATATATATGTATTTATGAACGTGATCTGAAATGGAAACTTGCTCACTGCAAGAGGAGTTGACCTGGTGGTGGAGACGGGAAAAGGCTTCGGAGCTTGTCCGGTCCTCCCGAGGTCCAGCTCTGCCATCTGTCTGGGGTGGGGAGAGTTTCCTGAGGGGAACGGGAGGGGTGACCTCGGGCAGATTTTGACCTCCGAAAGAACTAACAGTGTTAAATAAGCCAGTGACCACAGGATTGCCGAATATTTTTCGGTTAGGGCCTCTTTGCAGAAAGTAGGCCGGAGAATCTCTCCACAGGTCCTGGCTCCCGTCATTCTTGTGTGGTGGGTGGTGGGGTTGAAGGAGCCTTCCCACCTGTGGGCAGCGAGGACCAAGGCTGCCTGCTGCCGCACTAAATATGAATGCTCACGGGCTCTTTCTGGTGTGAATGTTTACCTTGTTGTCTCTTTAAAGCACCCTTTCAGGGATGTGGTCAGAAAACGGTTGAAGGAGACTTGGAAAGTCCAAAAGGATTAGATGTGGGTATGGATCCATCAGGCCCGTAGACAGGATTTTTAAAATTCGGGTGGCCTTTAAATAAGTCAGGGGGCACCCCCCCAAGGGTGCGCCACAAATAAAATAAAAAATTGGAAGTTGGGGGGCCTGGGGGCTGGATGGGAAGTCAGGGGGCCTTGCCAGTGAGTTGGGGGGCCAGGCCCCGAGATGCCCCACTGTAGCTACGGGGCCTGGGATCCATGTCTGTGCAAAACTCTTGGAGTTTTCTCTGGGGCGTCTGCTGGGGCCGATGCTCAGGTCTTCTCCTGCTTCTCACCTCACCAAGGTGTGCCTCCAGCTGTCTTCTGGCTGCTTCGCTCCACCCATTTTAGGAACCGGTTAGGGAAGCGTTCTTTTGGATTCTGGGCCAGCAGACACATTGCTTTTGTGGTGGGTGAGCGGGAAAGCTCTCCGCTCTTTCTCTCCAAGACTCACAGTCAGATCCCAGCCGCGGGCATCTCACACCGACTATCAGGCAAACCAGGGTCACTGCAGAGAACGGAGGTTGTGGGCAAATGTGTATTCTGAACTCTGCCAATTGCTGCTATGCCGCCTGGCTTTCGCTCCCCTGTGGTCCCCCATCCTGCCGTCCACACCCGATGGCAGTCGTCGGTTTCCTGGAAGCCCTCTCTCAGTAGCAGGAGGCCATGTGCGTCCAGAAGCACGCCGTGATTTCAAGATGCCCGAAGTTTCCCCATTGCACTGAAGGGGGTCTAACCCTACTTAAAGGAGCAGCACAGGGTAAAGGCACGGCATGCTGGCTGGTGTAGTCTCGCTCTTGAATCCCTTCATCCATACAATGGCGTTCCATCCCCCTGCATTATGCATGTTCAAACATTATGCATTTTTGGTCTCTTAGAAATGCCATGGTGCCATTCATTAGGGAGCATCGGTCTGGAAAACTGTGGTCATTGGGAAGAGCCCAGGAATGTGTCTCTTGGAGACCTACGTTTGCAAAACCGGAGTCTTTCGGGACCCCTCTGTATTCCAAAGGGGGGTTGCCCACATGAATTGCCACCAATGCTCCCTCTAAGCTGTGTAGTCTTGTGAGTCAAAATTCTATTTTGTGAGCTTCTGGCATTAAAGTTGTGAGCAAGCTATTTGGCTACTGCATAAATTAGTGTGCTCTGGAGCAGTGTTCCCTCTAAGCTGAGTTAGTGTGAGCTAGCTCACTGTTTTTTAGCCTCCAGCTCACACATTTTTGTCTTAGCACATACTGCCAAGGCAAATTTATGCAGCAGCCAAATCACTCGCTCACAACTTTCATGCCAGTAGCTCACAAAGTAGAATTTTTGCTCACAAGACTCCACAGCTTAGAGGAAAAATTGCTCTGGAGCCATCCCTTCCTGAGCTAAGACAAAAATGTGCGAGCCGGAGGCTAAAAAACTGAGCTAGCTCACACTCACTCAGCTTAGAGGGAACACTGATTGCCACACTGACCACTGCTGATTGTTGTCAAATACCTGGACAATTTTTTATTGTTTAGAAGTCTTGCAAGCTTCCCAGCCCTGCTTATTCAGTACTGGGTGTTCAGACCATGTTGTGTCCAATAAGGAGCCTTGGAGCCAAGGTCACACAAGGTCAAGGGGAAGACTCTTGCAGGTAAGCAAAATGGGTGAGAATGGAGGATACCCTCAAAGGGCCCCCAGTTTGAAGGCCTGCTTAAACCTTCCTGAATGAATGGGTACGTAACCCCCCACCCCCAAAAAACCAACAACATTAAAGCACATTTAAAATGCCAAATGATGAGCGGCCACCTTATGTGGAGTCATAGGAGTGCGTAAATCAGACTGGGAATCAGCACGTGCGCAAGCTATGCAGCAATGCAGCCTTTGTTTGGGCAGCAAGATAAAACTGTAAAAAGGATAGCGATGCAGAGATGGGACATTCCTCATTCATTCCTCACGCCCAGACTCTTTTTTTATTTTTTAATTTGCAGCTCGACGGCACTGAGTGGAGGAGTTCAGGCTGCGTGGAAACAATTTCCTTTGCATTTTGGGTGTGTTGAAAAAAACACCTCCTGCTTGCCTCTCTTTTGCGGGCCTCTTGGGGACAAGTCCTACTTTGAGTGACTGCTCTGAGTGCCCGTCGGAGCCTTCATTGCCCTCACTGCCCTTGGCCTCACTTGCCCCAAGCAAGTGAAGGGCAAGTGACGCCCAAGATGCCGAGCTATAGGAAAGGCTGCAGAGAATAACTGCTGGGCAGAGAACAGCCTTGACAGGACACCCATACTGCCAAGGCAAATATTATTCAGCAACCTCTTTCCTGGGGTTCAGTGTGCTACTTCTGACACAAATAACAGGGAACTAGAGAACATCAGGCAGGGGCCCCTCTGTGGCTTTCGACCCATGAGGCATTTCAGGAAGCTCCGTTGCATGAACCACCTTGAAGTGAAGGGTTGCTGCTCAAGAGATAACACTGTGCTTGTGCAGGAGAACTTTCCTAAGGGATTCTCTACCCTTAAGATAGTTTCAGGTGGGTAGCTGTGTTTGTCTGCAGTCGAAGAGCCTGGCTCGAGCCCTGTACTAACTTAGAGACCAACGCGATTTCCAGGGTTTAACCTTTTGAGATTCAAAGCCCCCCCCAGTCACATTTGAAGGGAACTTTGACTCTTGAAAGCTTCTACCCCAAAATCTTGTTGGTGCTCCTGGGCTCGAATCTAAGTGGGAACAGAGATCCCTGAGCCTTTATCTCCCCCTCAGAAGGCAAGAGGGGCGTTGCAGTACCCTGGGGGCTTTGTTGGTCTTTAAGGCACTACAGGACATTTGAGCTTGTCCTGTGAAACCCGTTATCAAATGGCATTTGTATAAAATGTCACTGGGAGAAGTCCAGGCCGTTCCACTGCTGAGAAGCTAAGTGGAATGTGGCGGAACGCTCCTTTTGGCAGTCCGAAATGGTTGTCTTTCACCTGAGAGCCAACCTGTGGTCACTGCAGCCACCGTCACAAGCTCAGGGCTCCGGGGCAGAGGGCGTACCCTCCTGACCCACTGAAGCTTCTCGAACACCCCCCTTCTTGGAAATGGACCCCGTGCATACACTTTGCCCTCAGTTGCAGACACCATAAGGTGTATGTATGTCTTCAGATTCACACATTACGTGTTGCTTGCAAACAGGGCTTTGTATAGCTTCATCTGGATAACCAGTTTAGCTCTTCTCTCTAGGGATCCCCAGTTAGATGCCGGATCGACTTTCTCTACAGACGAGATGCGTGTGTTGTTTGTGTTTGTGTGTGTTTCGGGGGACAACCCACAAGTAATAACTTGGGTTGCTGGTGGGCGAGGGAATATTCTTAAAGATACCAGTGAAATAGCTTGCAGTTTGAGAGGGGCGCCCAAGATTGATTGTGGGACTTCCAAGGATGCCGGGGACAGATTCCAAGACCGCATGGGGCACTCCCTGGACCATCCACATGCCGAGGCTGAGGAGAAGAAGCAGCTCCAGAACTTTAGATATCCAATTACTTCTTCTCAGTAAACAGAGAGAGAGAGAGAGAGAGAGAGATGGCATTTTATTTTAAGTTTGGTGCGGTTCTTTGAATGACCAGTAATGGGGGAAAACGTAAGAGGCAGACATCCTATGAACTTCTATATATATCTATCTATATGTGTGTATGTGTGTGTATCTGTATACTTGTGTGTGTATTGTACCTAGGCGAAGATAGCTCATGACTGAATTATCCTTCTTAACTAATATAACTTGACTAAAACTATTAAGATGTTGCTGCAGAGGATTTGCAGGATTAAGCACTTTTGATTCCCTGAAGATGTTTGTCTGGTGTTCTTCGTATTTCTGCGTCCGGTCTAATTTGATATATTATTTTATATACAAAGGTGGTCAGTGTGTGTATGTGTGTTTTTGGTCTGAGTTTATAAACTATTATTATAATTATTATAAGTACTATTTTTGTTATAATTCAAAATAGATATTTAGTATCAAAGGTTTTGCTGTTAAATATTGTTATTTAGTAAAATATGAATTCCCCCCGCCTTCCTCCGGCCGCTTCCGTTATTGTAAACAGTGTCTGGCAAGAAAAAAAAGTTTTATCTGTTGGTGCACCATCTAAGAGTGTTTGGGGGGGGCACCTGCTCATGCTCCGTTGGTATGAATGGGGCTTGAGCAAGAGACCGCCTCCCTCGGATCGGGCCCATTGTTATTAATAGTAAAGAAAACAAAAAAAGCACCTGTTGGATGGGGTATATTTTGGTGCCGTGTGAAGATGTACTTTGTGTCATGTGGTTTTTAATGTGTATATAATACTGGGGCCAGCTCTTTCGGAAGGTCTCCCACGGTAGCTCTG